TAATAATATTATAAATTTAATTTATATTTTTATTAGTATTAGTATTTATTATAATTATTTAAAAATATAAAAAAATTTTGATAATTTGTAAATTGATTTTCTAAATATATTACGAATCATAGAATATTATAACTAATAAGAATTTTTATATAATATTTTCAAATTACAGTCAAATTTCTCTATAGTCACGTCTATTTATAGTCACATCCTTCTATAATTATCATATTTTACTTTCCTATTTACATATAAATATAGTAAAAAAACCTCTCTATAGTCACATTCTTTCTATAGTCACCAAATTTTGCTTTTTCAAGAGTGGTGATTATAGAGAGATTTGACTGTATCACTTTTTTATCACTGTGATATCTATCCCAGTTCTTGTATAATTCATCCGAGATGTTAATTGATCTGTCCAGTCTGATCCAGTCTGAGGATTACCAATCCTAATCAGGACTGGACTGGATTGCGATCCAAGGACTTAATCGATAGGACTGATCCAGGATTTAAAAATGGGATCGATCTCGAACGTAATTTATGAGTCGGATGATCTTAAATCATCTGTCAGGATGATCTGAATACTGTGACGATCCAATAATACAAACTCCAACCATCACCGTTACTTTCATACTCACGTATTAAAAAATGATTCATTTGTAATCCAACTCTTAAGACAAAGTAAAGCACGAGCTGTTTCACCTTTAATTCTGTTTCAGACTGCACTGATTATGTGTTTTGCTATACTGAAAGTTGATTTGGAGGGAACGCTAGACGCTGGAATTGCAAGATAATCCTGGACCAGACATGAAAGTGTTGAATAATTGTCAGAATGAAGTTTTCACCATTCAAGAGAATTAATATGATCCGCTTCAAGTGGAAGTTGGAAATACTGTTCAATTTCGTGAGTATTATATTGATTATTTGATGATGTACTTTGAATGAGAGCTCGAAATATGCTATGAGTTGAGGTTAGTCTGGGTAGTGCTGTTTGTATATTATTTGGATTGTATTCGTCATACATTTTCTGTAGAGTGAATTTTGCATGTGGCTGATCATCTTGAAAGAATGCTGAAAATTTGGTACGCGAATTGAGAAGAGTTGCGATTATGAATGATTGATGAATTAAAGACCAGTAGACTTCAAGTTTTGCTTTTATTGTGCTTGCTACTTCAACTTGACTATTGACATTTTTGACGCTATTTATATCAAGATGCACAAGCAAACTCATCATTACAATGCGCACATCACCAATTGTCAGATAAGATGAGCCAGATAATAGCTCAGTTGCATCATTTATTGGCCGAAGAATTTTGATTGTATCCTAGAATATATAAATATTTAATTGATTTCAGATTTTGATATTTAACGTGATGATAAGTTAATGTAAACCTTTCGTTTCTAATTAGTATTATCAAAACAATGCAATTAATCAACACTATCCCCAAATCAACTATTGCAATATAAAATGGAATTCGAAAGTGAAGTGATAGATATTACTTACTTTTAATATATCGTGCTCAGCATATGTCAAATAATTATCTTGAAGATTTGG